TTGCCCCCCCACCAACTAAACTTTTTATAATAACTCCAACTATTTTCATTTCCCCTTTAGCACTACTTTCACCTTGCCAGCATTTACCGTAAACGTACGTGAAAATTACACTAATTTCATGTCCCCACCACTTCCCCTAAAATGCACACACACATACCTTCAACAACACCCTATCCGAAAAGTCTCAGATAATTTTTTGTGGTAGCTGATTTTGCGTGAATAACAATCGAAGTAAAAAACTGAAAGAAACCCAAATACAAAGTTCCTCACTATCTTTCAAATGGTCGGAGCAATAATTTGCTAGCTTTTTACGCGTCTATATACTCTTGCTCTATTACCATTTACAAAAAAAACCACACAAGTTTGTGAAGTTTCTTTTAAAAAATCTATGCGTTCCGATCTTCGAAAACGGAGAAGAACTTTGTTTTCGGATGTGCATTAATTTTTTTATATGCAGTATCAGATACCACGAATAATATTACTGTTCAATAAATGTTTTTGTGTCGAGAAAAACTGGTTTAAAATCTTGAGTTTTAACCCAATTTCGAGCATTAAAAGCAAGCGAGCAGGCTTTTTTAATAAATTGCAGGATCACATGATTATATTCATAATGAGCTTTGGTTTTTTTCCGATTAACAGCCAAATGCCCCTTGAAAAAACATTAGGGTCGGTCAGCCCAAAATGGATAAATTAAAAAATCAAAAGGTTTTCCACCGCACTTCACAAAAATCAATTTAACACCTTAGGTTGAACCCGAACACTAAATAGATTCATGGCACAACGAGCTAACGGTTTTCTATTAACCATTACGATCATACTGTCGCCAGATATACGGAAGATTCCCCGCATTTTGATGATCCTAACATTAACCCTCAACTAACTGAAAATTTCTTCGTCAAATAAGATTATTTTTAGTATTATTTTTAAATTAGATTAAATTTAGTAACTTGCACGGTATTCTCCGTACTTATGCGTATTAAGATCCGGTCCGACAGATGAACAAATTTTGCTCCTTGTCTATCACATTTGCACTAGATGACGCCCGTCCCATCATACTTGCCCACAAATATGTACAGTCGGTTGAAGTAGCCCTACTCGAAAACATCCACAACATCAAACTGAATCACTAACCAATCGCATGTTTAAGAAAGTCCAATGGTACTCAAATCAGGTTAAACCAAGATTAAAACTGGATAAATTGTTCTTTTGAAACCCACGTTCAAATTTTATTCGAAGACCAAAACATCAAAAGAAAAACCTAAAACACAACAATCTATTTTGATAGAAAGACACAAACAAAGACAAATATAGAAAATCGTCTAATAAAAAAATTGAACACGAAAAGAGACTCTGCTCAAAGAGACGACAATAATTATCCCCTTCTGGCATAACCCACCAGAATAACGTCGCTCGAAGTACATGCGTTCACCATAGGCTACGACGGCGATCCACAATTTTTGCTTGGAGTGGCTCCATAGTGAGCAACTCTTTTAAAATAACCGAAACTAAATAAAAACGCTTTTGCGAAAGCAACTACTAAAAATAATAACTAAAACTGATCTCACTAACAAGATGTAGATTTAAAAATGCAATGTAGGAACGAGCATCAAAGGAAGATGTAAACTCGGTGATATTCCGAGTTTGGAACGGCATTTCAATTGGTCTGTTGCCGTATTCAAAACCCCCACAGGATTTAAAGTATGGACACAAAATCGCAGCAAAGGTACCCATTGAAGCAGCACAATGGCCAACCCGATGTTGACTTCACATACAGATCCTGGTCACTTGGCGCTTCACACAGAGAAGTCAAAAACTCCACTTTGAACGTAGTCTCGCCCTAGCTTAACGAAAACTGCACAACATTGCACTCAAGTGAATCTAGAGTAAACGAGACCCACTTCTGCAACCCGAGCAACTGTGCCCCTTCTCTCTATGAAGACAATTACTTGGAACTACCAACAGACGTTTCTCTCCTCTCCTTCACGCAGTCACTGCAAAAAATAAACCACTCCAAGAAACAAGAAATCTCTTCATCCATCCTACACTGCAATAAAAATGTAAAATTTAACACTCTTTAAGCCCCGGATGGGTGGAGCCAGTTCAAATCTAGTACTTATATCCAATTATATTTTATATCCCCTTTAAATTAGTATAAATTGGCGCCAAAGGCGCCTTTAGAAAAATTTAAAGATCCATCATCAAAAATGGATGAGAGTCCAACACTGGAATTTTAGGGTCGATAACTGAGGGGGAGGGGCGTCCGCCCCCCTAAATCCGCCCCTGAAGAGAAACGTGGATATTACTTATGAATCATTCTACTCACTACTCTATTGTTCACTATTTGAAATTTAAATCTGTTTTCAGGAGATCTACGATAACTGTTTATCAAAGAAAAAAGGTTCACGCTGAGATCTTGTTGTAAATTTTTTGATAGGAAATGTTAAATTGTTACATGTTTTGTCATATTTTGTGCTTTATTGTTTCTTTTTACAGTTTTTAACTATCTGCCAGCTTTCTATCTTACAACATCCGAATACCCGATACGAAATATCTAAAAGAAAACATTGTTTTGGAAAACGTACCAGCAAATTGACAACAATTGACTCAAAATCTGTCAGCAAGTAAAACTTTTTTCTCAGAGCATTAAAACAATTAAACTGAACCACTAGAGCTTAAGATCAGCTTAAAATGAACTACGAGAGCTACGATAACAGTATCAATTAAACAGTTTGGCTCACACTTTTAAAAGTAGATGGAGATTTTTTTGTAATTAACTTTTAGGTAGGCAACTTGAAAATATGACAAGAGTTCTCTTTTTTTAGTGTTTATAAATTTGAAGCTATCATGAATTCTCCAGAAACATATTTAAACATCCGAATACTCGTAAGAAACCTAGTCTTCAGTTTTATTTTGAAAAAATTACTTGAAAATTGGCAACATTCGGCTCCAAATCATTTATTTAATTAACCTACTAAAAACTCGATTCTTTATAAATTGCTAAAATGACTCCCTTCATTAATTCTAGTTTGAAAACCCTGTAAAATTTCTAATAACGTTGCCATGTTTTGAAAAAATGAACAACATTCAGTTGAATAGTGGAATTCCAAATTTAGGACAAAAAAATCCTGAAAAATAAATTGAACCCTAGTTTTAACCAATTTTTATATCATATTTATCATCCAATGAGCCTTTAAGACAATGTTTTATCAATGAGACAATCGTGGTTCACCAATTGAGTATCCTTTTTGAAGTATATTTGAAATAGGTGATCAATGATAACTGTATAAACCGAAGATCAAAAAGGCTTAAAAACAAATGTGAACAGATTTTAACCCTTGCTTGCACACACATACCAAAGAAAAATTATTAATTTTTTTAGTGAGAGCTTAATTCCAAACTAACAAAATTAGTTTAAGTTCATTTTTTGTTTCTAATTTTATCATAAGTTTTTCAAAATTGAATTAATTTTATAGATAAAATGCTAAAGTTAATATTAAATAAAAATTACTGTTTCTGACAAAGAGGCAAGACTGACCATTGCAAAAAACTAAGGAGAATGCGACAAAAACGCAGTTTCATAAAGCAAAATGAAAATTGTAGAAAAAAATCTGAAAATAGCTTTGCTACTTATCGCATTCGAACTTACAATTTTGAGGTTTAAACACTCACGCTGTGTTCTCTCAGCCACGGAGGCTTATCAATAATCAAACAATAGCCACCAATAAAGCAGCAGTACAGACGTTATGAAAAACAATAATACAATTAGTGATTATAGCGAAAGTAACAATAAATTAGAATTTTATTTGCGAGTTAGCTTTGAAAACATGGAAAGCTCAAACTCAAACACTACGCTCGCTAGCTTGATAGTGTAACATTTTTTTTGCGTTGAGATTTCTTGACTTTTAAATTGGTTCGAATGAAGGTTTTTTATAATTTAGGTAAAATTAATTTGCGTTGAAAAAATCAATATGACTTTTGATTGACCTCATTTTTTAAAAATCTTCTGAAAGTTCAAGTATTTTAATTACGAATTTATGTAGCTCTCGTTGTCTTTTTTTACAAGATATTGTCTAGTAAAACCATAAATTTTTTTTCAGGTGAAAATACGTAAACCTTCGTAAGAAGGTAATACAAAGCTAGTTGAAACACGGGCATAATAATATTTGATTCAAACTTTTAAAAAAACGATATGCGTTAAAGAATAGATTGTGTGCCACCATTGAGCAAAGTCGAGTCGAGTTCATTAAAATTTAAATCATAATTTTTGATTCTAACAATCAATGATGGACAACATATCTCTCAACGTTTTGGACTCTACTTTGATTTTTGTATCGCTGTTATTTCTGAGGCAGACGAGGAAGGAGTAATAATTTAAAGAAAAAAATAAACGCTTTTAAGCAGAAATTTTTTCTGTGTAAACAAAACAACCTGCTTCTTTCCGTGGCCAAATTTTCGTAATAATGACGCCTTTTATTCCAGCTTTTGACGAGAATTTGGAATACTTGAGCTGATTTAAGCTTTTGTTCTCCAGATAAATTGCACCTTTGATTTATAGTCTGAAAGAGAATAATGCCCAATAAAGTTTTCATAAAGTAATGGTAACTTTGGGGTAGTTGATACGCTCGAGATTTTCAAATTTCTATTAATAACTAGTTCAAGCAACATAGTTCGAACTGAAATCTATCCAATTGGAAATGAGAAAACTAATTGAAAAAAAATGGCGTTGATTTTCGCAAAACCGATTATTTTGTTGTTTAAGTTGCGTGTCGGTGGGTGGAATTGTGGTTTCACTATTGCATCACAATTGCAGCCTAAATCGGTCAGGCTGTGATAGACCTGAAGCTAGGAGTGAAATGAGAGCGTGTCCTCACACACTATCGTTGCCATCGGAGGGGATCGATAACACGATCTGAGGATCTCCATGGAATTTTTTACCGCTATGCGAAGAATGAGAATGTTTCTTTTTTTAAAGATTTATTTTAAATTTATTTAACGTTTTTTTTGGTTTAATTAGGTTTATTCTTAGCAACTAACTTAAAAATAGGCAGCGCTGTTAACGACTTCATTTACAGTTTTTCTCGTATACAAATCAATCGACTAATAAATTGAACTAAGGATGAATCTAAAATAAAATACCAAACTGGCTACAAATAGCACCTTCAGCCGGCAAGTTAGTAGACCTTGTGCACATTGAATAACACATATACATTAGCATTTTTTGCTCTTAATTAAATTGTGGTTTGCAGGGGTTTCGGTAAGTACACTCTAAACATTGTGCAAAACTACATGCAAAACTAGTTGACTTCTTCTGACTTTCGAAAAGCGTTTTTCAGGGTGTTTGTGCTCTAAATTTGTGCTCAGGGAGGTTTTTCGTTTTTTCTTGTGAAAACTCTGTGCAAGCGTTTACCTGCATTTACAGTTTACCTGCATTTTTTACATGTAGTGTTTTTCTATGTGTTTATTTTAATGCATTTAAACTTTCTACTGACCAAAAAGTTCCGGTTTTTATGCTTTTTTGAAAAGCATGTAAAAGTATAGTGAGATTATGGCAATTATGGTTAGCATTCGCAGTTTATATCAGTTTTGAAAAAATAAATTGATACACTATCACTAGGGTCGGGTATTTGTTCGTGGGTTGCTGTCATTGTCCGCGGTTTGTGTTCCACATACGCAGTGAAACAAACAGAAAAAGAAGGCCAAAGAAGGTCACAATAGCGAGCACGACAGCAATGGGAATGACTATGATGTTTATCTCCGATGGCTAAAATACACAGTTTTTTAGGGATTTTAGTCAAATTGAAAATCTACTTTAGAAACTTGAAATTAGTAATTTATGGTTGTTGATCAGAAATTGTATAAAATTGAGAACATTTTTCTTTTCATTGATTGTTTGGACATTTTCTTAAAGAAAAATTTTCCAATAATTAGAATCACCTAATGCCATGCAATTGAGCAGAGCATGAATTGAAAAGAATCTCGATTGCTGTTAAATGTAATTTTGTGTTATTTCCCATTCTCATAAAAACTGCTTCTGAAATCCTTTGTTAGATTTATCTAGGGAACTGAGTACAATGAAACATACTAAATTTGAAAATAGTAAAGTAAAGAACAACTTGTTTGTTGCATAATAAATCTGACAGCAAGTTGTCATTAATTTCCCGCCGTATTGTTGCAGTATATTGCGGCAGCTTTTTTTCAACACTAAAAAAAGACAAGACTGCTCGTATCAGGGCGAAGCCCTGAATGTTCCGACTGCTTTTTAAGGTTTATGAAGCAGCAGTAATAACATAAAAAAAACTAAATGAAATAAAAGAAAATGAAATTTTTTTCTTCTAAAATTTGAAATTTTTATGAAAAGTATCTCCCCACACGCCATTTAAAGTACAAAAAGATAGATTTCGTTCCTTGTAACAAATCAATTATGGCAAATAAGCTTCGTTCAACCAATTTGGGACGATTTATAAGAAGGATTAAACCTCCGCTTACGCGTTAATCGCGCGTTAATTGTCCAAAATGGCCTAAATGGCAATCTTTAAACCCTCAAACTTTATGAAAAATGATGACAGGTGAAATATCTTTTCAGATTTAAGCTCAGGACAACAATACCTTTTGAATGATATAAAAAACTCCGTCATAAATGGCTAGTTAAAAGGCGAAATTTGTCTGAAGAAAAAAAAAACCCACCCCGAGCACGTATCGAAAGTCGGAACAAAAATGTTTGAGAAAGTTGTCCGATTCCCAGCAGAAAAGTATAAGACGGCTTCATTATGATATGACATTGATACAAACAAATTTTAAACGATATTGAGAGTTTTTGAGCCATGATTCTGAATGTTTTTTTTTTCTCAAAGTAACTTCAATTTGAAAAAATGGACCATTTATTAAATTTTCTGTGCTGAATGCGTAATTCTCTCGCTCAACGCGTAATTATCTAAGCTCAACGCGAAAAAAAAACGTTCAAATTTGGAGCAAGGCAATATCTCAAATATTTCTTGCTTCAACGTGAAATAACGTTAATGGCTGTCTAAAATCGTCTGTTAATCTTAAACTTTTACAAGCGCGACATCAATTTACAAAGCCATCAGCGCCGTTCAAATTTTTTCGAATTTTTTAAAATTATTTTGAACCACTTGCACTTTTATACAGAGAGCTCATGGCTTCATATGAAAGTTTTCTACAGAATGATTCGAATTAACCGAACAACGTTAAAAACTTCAAACTCGGTTTTCTTAAATTGCGTAATTTATGTAATTTGTTTTGAGAAATTCACACCAAAATACTCTTTCAAAATTGCGTCATTGTGGCTTTATTAGTTCAACAAGAATTACGCTGAAATTACAGAGTTGCTTGATAAAAAAGTTTTATCAGAAAAAACCTCTCACACAACACAGCCCAACAAAATTCTGAAAAGATTCGATTTTATTTTGATTTTGTTTTGTCCGGATAAATTAGATTACCACTGTACCATACCAGATATACAAGCGCTGTTACTCTAAATATAACGTTACTCTAATGCGCTGTTACTCCAAATATAACTCTAAAGTAAAGACTTTCTGATAAAATTCATTAAAATGTTGCCAAAAAAACATATTTAGAAAGCTTAGTTTTCTAATACAACGAACATCTTAATAAAATTGTTCTCGTTGCTTTTCAAAAAATCTGACGTCCCATTTTTTCTAACTCTAGCTATTTTTTTCACTGTTAAGCTGATCTGATGATTACAACTACGTGTATTCAAGTTACACGTTTTTCATTTTTTTTACTTATAGAAAACTGATGAGCCGTGAACTTTCTATTCAAGCCCTGAAAACTTAAACTTTCTCAGGTAAAACAAATTTTCGGAGTTTGAAGCGCCATTTTTGGAATAAAAAACTACAAAAATATCTGCCAAATTTATTTTTACTGTTTTTCTAGTCACTTTGTGACTAAAACTGTTGTTCATCTTGCCAATTTTAATAAGTTTCAGGCTTTTTGTTTAATCTTTTTTTTTCAAGAAAATGGTCGAAACATTCTGATTTTTTTTTGCCAGCAACCACCTTTCTTTGTTCTTAATTGCTATACTGAAAATAATTTTAAAAAAGATTGGGCTCAGAAAAAAAAGTATATCAAACCAATTGCGGGTGAGAAAACTGTTGAGGTTGAAAAAATAGGGCTGAAAGAAACGTAGGTTAAAATTTGGACGATGTTGAAAATTTTTGAACTCATAAACTTTATAATTTTTTATATTATTTTCCAATTGACCGTTTGAAATGCGTTGTTTAGAGAGTCGAACACGAAAATAATTTTTTTTGCAAGTCATTTTTGTTGTCTATTTAACTAGTTTATTGTTAAATTTTTTGTTTTAAAGCTAAACCTTTTGAAACCTTAACAAATGGCAGTCAGAATTTTTGCCCTAAAACGAGCATTATTGTTATTCCTGCAAGATTTACCAGCTCACAAATAACAAATCTGTCCGATTTATGATCCATATCTCCGATTATCTGTCTTGCCTGGTGCGGTTCACGTCTCGAACCGGAGTAGTCAATTGGGAGTTCACTAATCCAGACCATTATTTGGATCATTTGACCTGCAACAATCTGAGTTTTAACTCAATGATTTTTAAGTGCCTCATCTACCACTTGCCTAACATCCCGGAAACTATCGATCTAAGCGGATATAACGAAGCGCACTTTTTTTTTCGTTTGTGTTGAAAAGTCATCTGCTTTTGTACCATTTTCATGTTCCTCTGTAAAATATTAGCAATATTTTCATTTTGTCAGTTTTTTGTTTGCTAGAGTTAATTTTTATTTGCTATTGGACTCCATAATGAAATTACCATAATATGCCCTGTACCCTCATAACCTATCACTGTCGTGAGTGCGGTAACTTTTCTATTCGGAGAAGTCTGCAATATTGTTAACCGACTTACTGGACGAGAGAACTGTCAAGTTGAACTCATTCAGCTGCAAACAGAACAAGATGTTGTTCAGTCCGGTCGAATAGTTCAAGTTCAACTGACCCAACAAGAACTCCGTTTGAGTTCGTTCGAACTCAATCGGCCATCCTCGTGCACTCAGTTTCCCCTCTATTATCAGCTCAACTAGAATTCCTTGGAGATTAGAGACGTCTTTCCATCGTTTTCTGAACAATATTCATTCGTGATAGAAACAACTACTAAATCCAACCATTAAGCATTCAATCGACAATTTTCTCGTGCAAGTTGATTTTATTTCTTTTTGAAAAAGTAAGTGTTGGCTTATTTTTGTGAAGTTTTTCATTGAAGATGAAAAGTCTCAGTTTGTCGAGACTCAACAGAAGACTTGTTTATGAGTGGGCAATAATTCCCTGTTAATTTGCTGCAGATTGACATTGAGAGGAAACTAAACTTTTCATCTCCCCTATTTTCACATGATAAGAGAGAAAAAACTTACTGAATTTGGATCCTTTCCAAACAAATGGACCCATTCCCAAGATCTTTCGTCATCCGCATTTCCGATGTGTCCAAACTGGGTGTTGTCTGTTTCGGAGTGTATAGACTCGTCTTACAATCTGACCCATTGTACCCTTAAACAGGTGTTGTCATTTATATTCTATGACGAGCCAACTTAAGACTGACATGTAACACTCTGTGTTCAAAATGCACATGGTCTGATATTTGACTGCACTTATAATTTTTTGGAGGGTCATGGTTTGGAAGGTCACAGTTACCTGTAAAATAGTGACCCCTTGACCATATAAACCCAGATCGGTCCCGCTCTTTCTGGCAGCTGAGTGGATGAAGCTGCAGTGCCGGAGATCCAAACTGATTTGCGGCTGCTTCTGCTCTGTTTTTCGGCTCGTTTAGATTGTTGTGGAGTTCTCCACTGCCAGTCTCGACGATGGTTGCTATCATCGCTAATACGAAAATCCAAGATGGGAACATAATTAAAGCAATTTAGAGACAATGCTTATAAATTGTGTGAGAAGGCAGTTTTGAGATTTTATAAAGGTGATTTAAACTTCTATAGGAGTAAATGATATATTTTTGAAAAGCACTTGTCGCTGGTTGAAAATATGAAAAAATAAATTAATTGGTCAAATTATACTCTAATTGGTCTGCGAGCGTTTTTTTGACTCTTTCGACAGTATGAGAACATATTTATACATATGTAAGATATACGACATGTCGACTTGTCCTGATTACCTCTATTCAAAAATCTAAGTTTTAGCATTACTTTTTGATGACTAGCTTTGATCATTGTGAGGTCATAAGTAATTGAATCAATTCTCATACGTCATTGAAGCAGAAAGTCTTATGAATACGTTGAAGTCGGAGAGAAAACTTACCATTTATGGTGTTTGTGATATGATACAAAAACGGCATTTGTCAGTCAAACTGGCTTGTTTGTTTTGACAATCTTGCGCAATATGAGCACATGCGTAGTTCTGTATGGCGCCCATTATTTAACAATGTCCTCTTTTAACTGAAGAAGTAAAATCAAGTGGTGGCTTTTTTCATAAGTGAAAAACCGATTGCGCAAAAATTTCATAAATTCAAAAGAAAAAAGCAATGAAATCAGTCATTTTAGACGATTTAAAGGACGCTGATTGGTTGAGAGCTTTTGCACATGCGGAATTTCTCTCACGAAAAAAGCACCCTCATGCTTTTAGTTCTGCAGTTAAAAATGACGTAATCAAAAATTGGACGCGTTGAAGAACTAGGCATGTGCTCAGATGGCACAAGGGCGATAAATACAGAGGCGCTGAAAGTGATACGAGATGAGATAAAACATGGGGGCACATTAGGGTTTCCCCCAAATAAGGATATTGGAAACCATCCTCTGACCCCCTGTTCTTTTTTGTTGCTACACCAGATATTTAAAACTGTATAAAGTTGCTGCAAACTTTCAATAGATGCAAGATTTTCTGCTTTCTTCATCGGGGCCTACTTGACTTCTAAACCTACTCACTAAATGTATTTTTAGCAAAACGACATCAATTACAGATTTAACAGCCTCCTCCTCCCATACTTTAACTCATGAGCTTGCAAAACCTTTTTCAACGGGAAAAGGGTATACTAGCTGGATTTTAAAAAACTCTAAAACATTTAAAATTTTCTTGGCATTGAATAACAGCCCATGCATGACGTATCCTAAAACTAATAATTACATTTATAGTTTTTCTCGAATTGACCAAAACATGAATCGCAAACTTGCGCCGTTTTTGCTACGCCGTTCACGATGGTTTTTTACTGGTGCACCATTTAATTTAGTTATGCGCGGTTTGCAATGCTTTTTGAGTATCGACGGTTTTTTGAATAGCCACAGTCGCGAACATTTTTTTTTGTCGGGCTGCAGTAGACTGCACTTGCCAAATTTAGGTCGCTTTGGTCTTATCTTAAGTTGCGGAAATCGACCCGCGCGTTTAATGCCCATTCATTATTCAAACCAAATCCGCCTCTGATTCTCGCGCGTCTGATTGTTAGAAAAAGTGTTTATGCAGTTTTTTATTATTGTTTTTTGATTTTTATAAGAAATTAATACGGTGTCATCGGAACATCATTAACGGGTCATTTCTGTTCATAGAAGCAGTTTGTGTGTAGAAGTTTGTACTGTGAGAAAGTGTAGACCGATTAGAAGACCGCTTGCTGCCTAAAGTGAACATCCGGCTGATGTCCAAACTGGACAGTTTGTCCATCTTCCTCAGAGCAAAAGCCACATAAACCACCCAGATGGCACAAATCACTCCAAAGGCCCAGAAAATATACCCGCATAAGTCGTGTGTAATGTACTCAGATGCACATAAGAATCCGAATAGAGTGAGATAATTGAGCATGTTGGCCATGCAAACTGCTCGCCCTCTAGCGGTGAAAGTGAACATCTCTGGAACTAGCAGCCAAGGCAGTGGTCCAGCACCCATTCCAAAAGACATGCATAAAATAAAGAGGAGAGCTAGTGTGATGTAATAGACGTTAGGAATGGGAGAAATATCAACTGTTTTCGGGCATGATGTTTCTCCTGATGTTTGAGGCATTCCGGATCTCAGGAATCCAATAGCAGTGAGACACGAGGCCATGAGAAGGAAAGCTGAAACACAAAATGAATAACTTCAAATCCATGGGCTGATTTAGGGAAGGGTTACCTCCGTTGATACTAGATTACGACATCCATTGTTGGTCGACTAACCTCGAAGTTTATCCAAAAGTAACCCGCAAATATTATCCACTGAAAAAACGCTGGAAGGTTTTTATTGGAAACCTTCCAAAAAGACTCCCTTAAGGACTCAAAAAATTTTCGCCAAATCTTGTCCTTGTAATGTCTTGGGAAAGCACGGGAAAATAATTTGATCAACTAAAAAAAATCAATAAATCTTCTGGATTTTTTGGGAAAAGTTCAACTAAATTTAAATCTCATGACAGCAAGTTTGCACAGTAATTAATTATTCAAATGTAATAATGAACAGTCTGTGGAAAGGTTGATGGCTTAACTTACAAATGATAAGAGTAGGTTTTCTTCCCAGCTTCTCAATACATGCCATGCACAAGAGAGATCCGAATGTCTGGCAGGACAACAACACCAGTCCAAACAGCTGCTCTGGATCCCTCAAGTACTCTGTCTGTTCTGTCTCGTTGACCAGTTCTTGGTAGAGGTCCCCAGAGTGGAATACTGTGGATGACGTCACTCCACTAGTCTGGCAGCCAACCCCAAGGAGCAAAGCCAGAAGTAGTGGAGTCCGCAGATGGCTGCAATGAATAATACAGAATTACACAAATCAATAAATTGCCGCTTTTAATTTGTTAATTAAACTATATGATTTTAATATGATTATTAAACTAATTTATTTTTTTTGTAAGTCAAGTTGAATAATAACGGTCAATATTTGTTTTGCGAGGATACAGCATATGCAATGAATTTTGAAAACTTGATCCACGAATATAAAACAGCGGGGGAATCTAAAGCTTTAATTGGCAAAATTTTAGGGTTGGTAAAAAATATAAAATTTTCGTGAAATAATTCCAAACTGATTTCGGGGCTTTAGGTTGAGGCGTATGAAAGTTCATATCCATTTCGTAAATTTCAAGAGAACCCAAATCAAAACTTTTTTTTAAATTAACCAGCCAGAGAACTAACCCGAAAATTAACTATTTAAGGTTAACTAATCTATGGTTATCTTATAAGAGCTCACCTTGTAAATTGCAACACACGTGCGACTTGAACCCGCAATCATATGATTGCTGGGCATCATCACTACCGATGCACCACAACGCCACTTTAGAATAAACGCCTAACATACGACAGTCAAGGCCGACAAAAATCTATAAAGAACTGGTAACAGTTCCGCTCTAATGTATCGTAGGGTAATGAAATGTGAAAATGTGATTTCAGGCGACACTTTATCGTTCTGAGACTCCCTCTGTAGTATGTAACAAGTATCTGTTAAATGTACCGTAGATTGATGAAATGTGCAAATGTGAGTTTGGGCGACAATTTCTCAATCTGAGACTTCCACTCTAGTAAGTAACAAAAACTGTTCAATGTAACTTTGATTGATGAAATGTGCCAAAATGAGTTTAAGTGAAACCTTCTCGTTCTGAGACTCCCTCTCTAGTAAGTATCATTAACTCTTCAATGTCCCGTAGAGTGATGAAAAGTGAGCTTGAGCGACACTTTCTCCTTCTGAGACTCTCTCTCTCTAGTAAGTAGCATTAACTGTTCAATGTATCGTAGAGTGATGAAATGTGCGATTGCGAGTTTAAGTGATGACACATTCTAATTCTGAGACTACCTCTCCAGCAATCAACATTAACTGTTCAATGTCCCGTAGAGTGACATTTTGGGCGACACTTTCTCAATCTGAGACTCCCTCTTTGGTAAGTAACAATAACTGTTCAATGTAACGTAGGTTGATGAAATGTGCCAAAGTGAGCATGAGCGAAACTTTCTAATTCTGAGACTCCCTCCATAGTAAATAACATTAACTGTTCAATGTAACGTAGGTTCATGATATTAGCCAAAGTGAGTTTAAGTGACATTTTCTCGTTCTGAGACTCGCTCTAAAGTAAGTAACATTAATTTTCTAACATACCGCAGAGTAATGAAATGGGGAAATGTCAGTTTAGGCGACACTTTCTCATTTTTAGACTCCCTCTCAAGTAAGTAACATTAACTCGACCTTGTACGGTAGAGTGATCAAATGTGCGAATGTGAGTTTAGACGATACTTTCTCATTCTGAGACTCCGTCTCTAGTAAGTAACTTTAAATCGTCCTTGTACGGTAGAGTGATCAAATGTGCGAATGTGATTTCAGGCGACACTTTATCGTTCTGGGATTCCCTCTCTAGTAAGTAACAATAACTGTTCAACTTAACGTAGGTTGATGAAATGTGCCAAAACTAGTTTAGGTGACACTTTCTCGTTCTATGTCTCCCTATCAAATAAGTAACATTAACTCCTCAATGTCACGTGGAGTGATGAAATGTGCAAAAGTGAGTTTGAGCGACACTTTCGCCTTCTGAGACTCCCTCTCTAGTAAGTAACATTAACTGTTCCATGTACCGTAGAGAGATAAAATGTGCAAACGTGAGTTTGGGCGACGCATTCTCGTTCTGAGACTCCCTCTCTAGTAAGTAAAATTAACTCGTCCTTGTTCTTAAGAGGGATAAAAAAGGCGAATGTGCGTTTAGGTGACAATTTCTCATTCTGAGACTCCCTCTCTAGTAAGTAACAAAAACTGTTCAATGTAACTTTGGTAGATGAAATGTGCCAAAATGAGTTTAGGTGACACTTTCTCGTTCTGACACTCCCTATCTAATAAGTAACATTAAATCTTCAATGTACCATAGATTGAAGAAATGTGCAAATGTGAGCTTGGGCGACACTTTCTCAATCTGAGACTCCCTCTAGAAAAAAAACAATAACTGTTCAACTTAACGTAGGTTGATGAAATGTGCCAAAACGAGTTTAGGTGACACTTTCTCGTTCTATGACTCCCTATCAAATAAGTAATATTAACTCCTCAATGTCACGTGGAGTGATGAAATGTGCAAAAGTGCGTTTGAGCGACACTTTCGCCTTCTGAGACTCCCTCTCTAGTAAGTAACATTAACTGTTCCATGTACCGTAGAGAGATAAAATGTGCAAACGTGAGTTTGGGCGACGCATTCTCGTTCTGAGACTCCCTCTCTAGTAAGTAAAATTAACTCGTCCTTGTTCTTAAGAGGGATAAAAAAGGCGAATGTGCGTTTAGGTGACACTTTCTCATTCTGAGACTCCCTCTCTAGTAAGTAACAAAAACTGTTCAATGTAACTTTGGTAGATGAAATGTGCCAAAATGAGTTTAGGTGACACTTTCTCGTTCTGAGACTCCCTCTCTAGTAAGTAGCATTAACTCTTCAATGTCCCGTAGAGTGATGAAAAGTGCAAAAGTGAGTTTGAGCGATACTTTCTCCTTCTGAGATTCCCTCTCTAGTAAGTAACACTAACTCGTCCTTGTACTGTAGAAGGATAAAAAAGGCGAATTTGAGTTGAGGGGACATTTTCTCATTTGGAGACTCACTCTCCAGTAAGTTACACTATTTTTTCCATGTACCAGAGAGTGATGAATTGTGAAAATATGAGCTGAAGCAACACTTTCTGACTCTAATACTCCCTCTCTAGTAGGTAACAAAAAATTATTTGTTCAATGTACCGTAGAGTGATGACGAGTGCAAATGTTAGTTTACACGACACCTTCTCAATCTGAGACTCCCTCTCTAGCAAAAAAAATAACTGTTCAATGTATCGTAGAGAAGTGAAATGTGCATTTAGGAGGCACTTTCTCAATCTGAGACTGCCTCACAAGTAAGAAACAGTAACAGTTCAATGTACCGTAGAGTTGTAAAATGGGGAAATGTCAATTTAGGCGAAATTTTCTCATTTTTAGACTCCCTCTCACTAGTAAGTAAAATTAACTCGTCCCTGTACGGTAGAGTGATCAAATCTGCAAATGAGAGTTTAGACGACACTTTCTCGTTCTGAGACTCCCTCTCAAGTAGTAACACTTACACGTCTTTTTACCGTAGAGTGATGAATTGTGCAAATTTGAATTAAAGTGACACTTTCTCATTCTGAGTCTTTGACAATTGACAACCATCTTAGATGATTTCAACTTTTCACATGCAACCAGGAAAACTCCGCGAAAGAAATTGAAAACCAGATCTCAGCAAATACAAAACTGTGAAAAAGCAAAACTGAATTAGAAAACACGTGCAACCAGCTAATTTATAATCAAATCAACGTTTAAAGCAAGAAAAAGCTCAAGTACACCGTGTAAACTAGAAACGATTAATAATTCGTTTTCTATATGGCGCCCAACGAGCCATATATAACACTTTAGCATTTGAATTAAATAAGGTTTTAATTAACGAGAACATCAAAACGAATGCAGGGGAGCCCGAAAAAATGAACATCTACTGCCAATACAACCACCGTAAGGATATTTGCTTTCCAGACTTCAACAACGACGACAGAGAATTTGTGCGTGGAACGGACAATATTGACATCATCAGCCCAAAGACCATCATCAAAGGAAATCGAAACGTTCCTCGAGCAGTCCTTACAGACATAGGATGGACAATAGCAGGACCGAACAACAACATTGGATACTTCTCAAGCCATCAAGCAACAGCTACCCCAATACATATATCAACAGACGACACACAAATCTCGGATCTTCTTGCTTCATTCTGGCGAACGAAAACCTACACCACATCACCTGAAATAACGATGTCATCGGACAAAAGACACGCTATGCAAACACTTTGGAAAACCATATCATTATACGACAACCGCTACCAACTCGGACTTCTGCGGAAACCAAATGCGAATCTTCCCAACAACTATAAAGCAGCAATTTTCCAATACCACTGGATGAAAATACAACTTAAAAAGAATTCAGAAAAACTCGCCTCTACCGGGATACAATTGACAAGGATCTCAGCAAGCATTACATAAGGAAATTAAAGCCAGGATGGATTTTACCTGAACAAGGCGTAATCAACCCAAACAACCCAGGAAAAGTTCGCCGTATTTTCAATGCCAAATCCAAATTTAAAGGAAATTGCCAAAATGATATGCTTTTCACTGGACCTGACTTGCTCTGCAATCTAGTAGGATCAATTACCCGATTTGGCGAACGAAAGCATCCCATCACTGCCGACATTGAAGGGATGTACATGCAGGTTTCTGTTAACTCCGAAAACAGAAAACTTCTTCGTTTCCTCTGGGGAGCGGAAGAACCCAAATTTTTCGAGTACACTCGATTCGTTTTTGGAGCCAAAAGTTCTACTTGTGCAATTTACGCACTAAGAACTTGCGCAGACAACAAGGCTGAAAACTATCCCTATATCAAAAAACTTGTCTACGAGAACTTCTGCATGGACGACTTCTTCGAAGCCACCGACGACATCGACACCGCAGTGAAAATCATAGAGGACCTTCGACACGTACTACAACAAGGAAGCTTTAACCTGCACAAAGTGGATCACCACGGATCATAGAACTCTGCAAAAAATACCAGAAAAACATAGATCCATCACCGTGGACGAAATCAAGGATCCCAAAATCTTCAAACGAATTCTGGTAACACGATCGAGAGTAAGTAACGATACACTGAGCTTCAACACTGACAAATTACACGAACTTGCCCAAAAGAAATCGACACAACGGAACTTATTTCGCGCAGCCTCTTCAATCTTTGACCCAATTGGAATAGCAGCACCTATTACTATTCGACTACGAACAATCCAGCAAGCATTTTGGAGAAAAGAATGAGATGGGACGACCAAATTACACAAGACATGATACCTGAACTTTTTGGGCTTCTCGACGAGAGAAATGAACTACAGACAGTGGAAATACTCGAAGCTACTTTAGATACAGCTATGACAAGATCGCTCTTCATGTTTTTTTTTCTGATGCCTCGTACAGCTCGATTGGCTCCGCTAAAACAGCACACAATAACTAAATTGGATCTACAAACCGCAGTTTTTGGTGCTCGCCTCGCAAAGTTCATTCGCAAAGAACAAAGAATTGACATCAGCTATACGCATATGTGGACCGACAGCAAAACAGCGCTTCAGTGGATACAGGGATCTGCTAAATTACAACAAATTTTTGTGGCTCACAGAGTTGCAGAAACTTTGGAAAGCACCCAAGCGAGTCAATGGAAACATTGCGCAGAACCCCTAAACCCAGCAGACGACGGAACCCATAGAATACCCCTATCGAAAATCAGTAACAAGTCAATATGGTTCACCGGAACAAAATTTTTAAGTGAACCGGAATGCAACTGGCCAGAGCTACAGTTAAACGACGCCAATACGGATACCTTGCTACTCAACGATCGAATTGGATACATGGATGAATGAGCATCAACCCAAGGGCTAGCTTTTCAAGCTTCCACCGAAACGACATTACAAAATTTTATCGACTACAGCAGATTCTCCAAATGGACAAGATTTCTCCAAACAATCGTATACTTGATGCGTGCCGCCAGGATGTTTAAAGATAAAGGACTACACTCCCGCAACGAAAATCCACCCACCGAACTGACAAGCAACAACATAATTGCCGCAAAAATTTTTATCTTCAAGCAGACACAACGAGACAGCTTCAACCAAGAGGTCAACGCATTGACACAAAATAAACCAATCAACACAATTAGCAGACTTCGACATCTGTCACCATTTCTAGACAAAGACGGATTTTTGCGAGCAAGTGGACGCCTCGAGAAATCTCAATTCGACTATTGCATAAAACACCCGATTATCCTTGACGGAAACCACCCAGCAGTTTACCTCTTCATACAAAAAACCCACAAGACAGCCAGCATTCGCCACGCCAGCACACAAAAATTAGTCTTCAAAACGAATATTAAATACTCTGTGTTCGCGCACACAATGACAAGATCATAGAAAACTGCTACGACTGCGACGAGAACAAGCAAGTGGACGACAGCCAGAACTTGCGCCCTACCCACCTTCAGATTTCCGGAAGAACATAATTAGATCTCTTCGGACCGTTCGCTTCGAAAACCGCGGGAGCCTACAGCAAACGCCACGGCGTTACAATGACTTGCCTAACAAAACGAGCCGTACATCTTGAGATGTGCCAGGACCAATCAGCCGACCTCTTCGTCAAAATCTTAAGACGATTCTTCGCATGCAGAGGACAACCAGCCACAATCATTTCTGACAACGGTACAAATTTTACCTCAGCCGAAAAAGAACTCAACAGACACTTCGACGCCGATGTTAGACGACAATTCTACGCCAACCATCAGTTTGAATTGACCTTCAACCCTGCCTATGCTCCTCATTTCGGAGGTGTAAGGGAACGACTCACAGGACCAGTCAAAGTCTCGTTCTATGCCATCATATGAAGCCAGATTCTAACAGACGACATATTCAAAACCGTTCTTTGTGACGTTGAACACTTCATGAACGCAAGACCCATCTCTACAGTTTCATCATCGCCCGATGACGTCGAAGCCCTCACCCCAAATCATTTTCTTCTCGGTAGAGCGCATGCCAGCATGCCACCTCTACAAACCCAACAGCAGTCGACAATGGAAATTCGCCCAACAACTCGCAACCCATATTTGGAAACGCTTGATGAAGGAGTTTATCGCAACACTACTGCCATGACAACGATTGGACGGATCACAGGAAACAACCCAACAGATGATGACCAGACTCGCGTTTACAGCGTCAAAATAAGAGACAAACTTGTGTCAATACCAGCCATTTGACTAGCACCTGTTAGTCCGGACTATTCCAATCAACCGGCAAACGAAGATTCACGACAATGAGAGCCTCACCCTAAACCAGCCTTGATCCATAGCTGATAACTTCAACCGACACTTACGCGACAGTTAAGCCAGCGTTTTAAGTTTCATAAATAGGAACCACCCCACCCCTTTTTTCTTAATTTCTTTTGCAACTGCAAAATGAGGCCGAGTGTTATTTGCCAATTTGACAAATGACAACCTTCTTAGATGACTTCAACTTTTCGCATGCAGTCAGGAAAACTCTGGGAAAGAAATTGAAAACCAGAACTCAGCAAATACATAATTGGGAAAATGCAAAACTTAAATATCAAACACGTGCAACCAACTAATTTTTTGTCAAATCAACGTTTAAAGCAAGAAAAAGCTCAAGTACACCGTGTAAACTAGAAACGATTACATTTTCGTTTTCTATACCCTCTGTAGTAAGTAACAAGTAACTGTTAAATGTACCGTAGGGTGATGAATTGTGCGAATGTGAGTTTAGGCGACACTTTCTCATTCTGAGACTCCCTCTCTAGTAAGTACAGTTCTGCATTGAGTGAAGTCACAGCCACCCGCATGCCTCTCAGACTCTTCAGGGCCCTCCTGGCACCCTTGCTGCTGGAGTTGCCACTGCCGCCACTACTACTGCCACTGCTGCACCCACCCCCCATCATCAGGTAGCTGGGACTCTCGGGGCAGAATAGGAGCAGGACTGAGTGAACAGTTGCTGTGATGAGGGGCAGGGAGAATATGTAGTGCCACGTATTCTAGGAAAAGTTTAGGAATAGTGTGAAGAGTAAACCAACTATGTTGAAAAAAGGTGGACAGGGTGACCTTTTTCTTTGACTTTTTACCGTCCTAATTCTTCATACATCAGTTGATAAAGAATTTTCCCACCAGGTCAAAAAACTCGGAACACATTGGGCTTTGAGCTGCAGTCTCTCGTGTCATAATTGGACTAGACATTACTTTCTCACAGGGAAGCTATTGAATGGGAACTATAGTTTACCGTGTTGTCATCTATGAGTGGGAGTATGGTCTGTATGCCGAGGAAGGTGGAGATGATGAATCCGATCTGGACTCCGACGTAGAAGAGGACTCCGATGGTACCCCTCGCATACCTCGGAGACACTTCACTCAAGTAGATGTTGGTCACCACCGAACTCGAACCCACAAACACTCCTGCAAACTCAATTAGAGACATAAACACCATGTTTTCACGAGTGAAATGACCAACATGCAGAGTGTTACTTCTTCATTGACAATCCCTTTCATGCTTCTGATCAAAACTTGCATGCATGTACTTTTTTATCGTGAGAGAACAATTCGTAAAAGGTGACAATTCGTGACAGTAGTTTAAGCGTGGAGCACTGATTCATGCCTGGCACTCCTCTCGTACCGGAAGTAAGCGCAGCGGAGCAAGCGTATGCCACTTGCCAATGCCTTGTTACGAATTGTCGCCCTGAATTTTTATGGGGCAGGATGTTGCGTCACCTTTACATAACAAGCAAGCACGCCATATCTGCAAGCAGGTTCAATTTTCGAGTTATCATCTAATTATTAGCTGTGTAGTTACCCATTTAAAAAATTTACTGTCGAGTAATCATTTTGCTTTTAATTTTGAACATTTAACGTCTCCCTTTATATGCATTTTATTTCTTTAGGTGAAAGGCTTGGGGTGGCTGGCCAAGCTGAATTGTATGACTCGCTAACTGTTTTTAATGCTCAAGAATACTGATTGGGTTTACCTGTGACTGCCCGACCGATAATAAGCAGCTGCCACTTGTTGAGCTGGACTGAGAGAAACAGACAAGATCCTCCCAAGAACAGAATGACAGAGTTGAAGTAGAACCCACATTTGCGACCCAGTCTGTTGCCTAGGAGGGCATGTTTGGAAACTGACTCTTTATATTTTCATTAGCACAAAAGTATCATCATTGAAAATGAAACTATTCCAACCAACTGTTAGGATAAAGATGAAAATTTCATGACTGAAAAAATCTCCAACAAACTTCTTTGGTTCGAGGCCCATCGATCCAAGCAATTTCCGCTTGAATGAATTGGAAAGGGATGCTGATTGGGTGGTTTTGACGTCACCCATAAAAGTGGAGATATTTAAAACAAAAAGTAACTGTTCTTCAAATGGCTTGCAGATAGATGCGCTCCGATTAAAAAAAACACACTATAATATTTGATGGCTGCGTACGATTGTCACATACTGTGTATTAGTTCGCGTACTATGTGCAGTAAGTTATGTGTATTATAGAAAAAATTAGATTAGAGACAGTGTTTGATTGTGACTATACCTAAGAATGCCCCCACCACACATCCCAGTGGGATGAACAAGTAGAGTGTCCAGGAGACTAGGTTGAACACATCCCTTGTACTCCAATGCGAGTGAATCAGTTGCTCCTTTTGCAGAGTGGAAGACAGAAACTTCTTCAAATTCACCTGCAAACACAGCTTTGAAGCCACAAATTGACAAGGGGATTACCACTTAGATCTTTGATTTGAACATAACTTAATTTACCACAGACATATATTGTCTGTTCCACTTTATCCAAACTCTTTTGGCCTATTTAAAACTATACACTTTTGAGGCTTGCGAACTTTCTTTCTTGCGATGATATCTTTTGAAGTTTTAGACAAGACTGCGTTGTATTCCTTCGCAGAGAAAGTTCGAATTCGAATCTAAATTTCGGCTTGGGAGGATTGTCAACAATATTTGAATACAAACAAATTGTTTAGACCTTCCTCAACAGGAAAAGACGCGGTTCTACCGTAACTGCAAAACTGCTGACAATTAATATTCTTTTGAGTGAGCGAGGCTGAAAGACCAACCTGAAACTGGGAACTTTGTTTCTCACTCACTTCAACACAAAAAACCGGATCCGAAAATCTAACTTAACTCTAGCTTGATAAACCGTTTTTTAAACAAAAAAATTGTTCAAACACAGCCAAATTGCAGCAATTTGGCGAGAACTACTCATCGATTTTTGTACGATATTGAATACTTACTTGAAAGGTTGAAAAAATGAGCAAGTTGAAGCCAATTGGAACGGCGCCGCCCAAGACAGCCGCGAACACGGACAGGGTAAGCAGAGGCGTCCAACAGGGAAACAGGAGTTTAGAATCCTCGTCACTACAAGTGTTGTTGAAACTATTATCCTCCGCAAAACTGGGATTGGAGGAGGAGTTAGAGGGGAGGATAGGCTGCAACTCTTCCCGGGTGCACGCTGGTGCAACGGTACGCAAGCTGACGCTCCTGATTGCCATGTGGGGGGCTTCCTGCTCATCAGTTCCAGACATCCGCGCAAAAGTCGCCGGAGAATCCCTACCCTGTTTCATACTCGTAAATGACATTTCGGCTAGCAAAGGTCAAAATGTTGGTAAATAAATTGACTTGCTTTGTTAGAAGTTCACAACTCAAATAGTTAAAAGTTGATTGTTGTTGTTTGTTTTAATCGAAGACGTGAAATTAACTCGTTTAAGTTCAAGAACGCCATGAAAAATTGTTTAATGGAACCAATTTTTGACTAGCATTGAATCAACGGAGCTCTGAGAAAGAGAGAAATTTTAAAAGTTACCTTTGTCCTTTATGTAAAAGAATATTTGATTGTCCAAAATAGATTTTGCAATCAACCAAATTATATGGCAAACTTTTGCCATAAACGTAAAAACAACATCGGTGGAAGATGAACAAGAGCATGCGCAATACACAGCCTCAATTTTTAAAAAAAATGCTTGATGTGCCTGGTCAGTTATCATGTTTCAATGTGTCCTTTCAATTTTCATGATTCTTTTTAATTAATTAAAGCAAAAGTAACCGGTGGTTTGCGGCTGCTTCGTTGCTTTAAAAATTTTACTGATTGAAATGCAGCCAAACGGCCATTTTCTTCTTAAATAAAAACAAAAAAAATTGGCCTGGTTTGATAGAAATAAATTGGCCAAATTTGTCACATAACTGGCTTCCGGGCACCTATCATTTTTAATTTTTTATGGTGAAGAATATGAAGTAAATCGTTAAAAATAGATTTCCGATTTACTCAGTCTCCATTGGTTTACTTTTAAGCTTGTGGAATTTTTAAAAGCACTTCTTTTATTAGGGCTGCTGTGTTCTGCTAAAAAACGTTATTCGGTTCTCATCAGCTAATAATCCAATTGATGCTATTGTGCTGAAAAAGCTGTCACATGCATATTATAGAGGGGGAAAAAAGAGACCACCCAATACTCAGCCCTGAGGAACGTCTGCAGAAACATTTTAAATTTTTTTTATGTAGCACCAAATAAATTTCTCTCAGCAAATACGATTGGATTATAACTCCAACAGGGAATCTGCTGTCCAGGCAGAGCAGCCTTTAAAAAGTATTGTGAAATACGGTTTCGAAGGCTTGACTTGAACAAAGCAAGACACTGCAAACTTTGTACCCATTAAAAATATCCTTCTTAACTGATTCAGTCAATCGTAGAACTGCTTGAAATGATGAACATTTTGCTTAAAACAATAAACCAAATTGAGAATTGCACAAAATTTGATTTTGCAAATGAAAGACATGAACTTAACTGCTGGTATTTTCAGAATTATACTGAGGGCAGCCAGAAATAGGACAAAAATTAGGTATCACCTTTAAGTCACCAGACTTATGAATAGCCTTAATTTTTGAATTTTGAATGATACTGGGATAAATCATTCATGAAAACATTGATTGAAAAGCGAACGGATCAATTTATCATAAAAAAGGACAAATTTTTAATGACTGGGTTGGTAAATCCATTAGCACCTGCTTAGATCGAATTATTAACAAACATAGAAATTTACAAATTAGACATATTGATGGATCAAGTCGAATCATTTATCTGTTTGACTTATACTTGAAAATTAATCATAAGTCAAATCTGCATTGACCTTACACAAATGGGTTCTCTAAGCCTTTGATAGAATTTGAAAATTTATGATTCCTAACTTTGGACAGTTTTTTCAATTTTTTTTCTAGCTGACACTTTTTTTTGAATCAGCAACAAGTTTATTTCTATTGAATCAGCAAAAAAATTACTTCAACAGTTTTGCAGTTGTATGTAACAATTGTTTCCAAATAACTTTTTTGGTTTAACATCTTCAAGGCTCTGTTAGTGACTAGTGCGGAACCTTTACAATAGAGATTGAGTAAAAAATCACAATCTTATTTACTAGTCTCATGCCCTGGAATCTGAAGAACCAGTAATCTTAAATTTCTTTTAACAAAATCTTTTGAATTTCTATTTTCTTTTCTGAGCACATGGGAAAAAATACACTCCACCGATAGGGCTTTCAATTAAAAGAAAAATCCAAAAAAAATTGGTTTTGACGTTTTTTGCTCATTATCAGCTAAAAGGTTTTCTATTTAAGGCATGGCATGATGAGTAAAACATTGATTTTGCGATAGGCACTCTCTGGTTATTCAATTTTTTTAACCCAGAGTTTCCATTGCATTGCAAAGCACTTGTTGTATTGACCTTTGAAAATGGGGAGGAAAATTGTACTCGAGTTTCTGTTTCTTTGTTTTTCACGCAAAATCAGGTACACCAAATAATCATCGGAATGTGCCGAGCGATATATCATATAAAACTCTTTCATTCTTGATTCGAACATTTAAGAAAAAACCAAAAAAACTTCTCCTAGTGTTGAAAAAATGTGGTTTAAGGTTATGAGATTTCCATCTAATTTCGAGCGTAACGCTCGTTACATGGCATTTACTGTTTTTTTTTCAGCTTAAAAAAATTTGCTTTTACTATGAAGAATAATTTAAATTTTTCATATAGCGCATATTTGCTAAAAAAAACGTTCAAAGTTAGAAAATATTTAAGTTTTGATTTTTTTTCATGTTTTTTAAGGTTTTTGATAAATTTCGTCGATTATGCCTATGTTACTATCTTTCTACGCAATCGTATAGTTTTCGAATCACGCCGTTTCTTATTAAAATTTCACAGCATTGAAGCTCACTTGGTTTTCAACAGATCTCTCAGTTGTTTTTTGGGGGTCTGATACATAAAGCATCACTCAAGTTGTAGTGCTTATTGAGTATGCTTTAGGTGCAAAAAAATTTAGTTATAAAATTTTGCGCAAAAAATCAATGTTCCATTACGATATTACAATGCTGAGTCAATTTTACAAGTTGAAATTCAGATAAAGATTGCTAGCTGTGTTTTTCTTTTCGTATAGCTCTGATGGTTCTGGTCTGGTTTTCTCAATTCGGTTTCTTGAATATATTTTTACTGAAGCACTCTACTGGAGCCAAAATTTGTTGAAAAGTTTTCGAATTTTTTTTAGAATTCTCAAAAATTGCAGATTAATTTTAATGTTTTTCAGGGTTGCGAGGAATCAAAAGCTAGAAAACAGCAAAAACTAGCTCACAAAAAAAAAGAAATTAGTAATGAAAATGTTGACTTAGCCTCAAAAATAAAATTTTGCGTTGTTCTGGAACTGAACAGCCGATCTTTGGAATAAGACTTCCTTTCATCTGTACAAAAGTTGTTCGTTATTAGACAAACACTAGCCACCAATGAAGCATTGAAAATAATAAATTAGGTCTTGAAATTTTTGCAATGTTCCGGAATCCAACGGCTGACCTGTAGAGTGGATGTCTCACGTCCTCGTATCTGCACCGCGGTCGCTTGACAAAATCACCATTAAAGCAGAGAACAGATTAAATTACAATGCCATGCAGGAAAATACCATCAATTGAATTGAGCATTTTTCTTTGCGATTTGGGCAGAAAGAAAAGTGGAGTCGTAAAATAAGACTACGTTTGCTACCTCATTTGTGTAAACCATAAAATAGCAAAAACTTAATGAATTTTCAAAATAGCCCATTCTTTAAACCCAATAAACCCATGTCTTAGAAACTGAAAATACAGCGACAATTTAGCTATACTTCATTCCAAAAAAAATATGGTGAGTTTCATTGGATGTGGGGCATCGTTATATATATATATATACGGAAAATTGTAAAATAGACTTTGTAAATTGTAAAATTGTAAATAATCGATGGAAAAAGTTATCCTATACCTTAAAAGCTTGCCACGTGGTCATCGAGTCTTTTAGGGGGCAGTATTCTATTCCAGTTATTTGAACTCTGATAAAAAAAACCAAGTTTAAAGTGTCGGTCTTTCTTTCCCGTTCTCTATCAGGGGATGATATTAAACCCAGCCTATCATGGAGCTACGAAAAATTTCACGGCGTTTGAAGTCAATGGAAAATCTCAATGGAACAAAAACTAATACTTTGAAGAAATAAATTCATTTAGTTTTTGCAAAAATAATTGAAATGTGAAGTCACTGTCATGTTGAAATTTAGTGGCCCTTCCAAATTTGTTTTGGAGTTTATGAAACTTTGGACAAGTATCTAGAGCATAGGAATCAATTGTCATTCCCTGTTCAAATTCTTCAGCTACTGATTTGAATCTTTCGTGATTTGTCAAACAAAAGCTATCAAAGAGTCGCGTAGTTTCATCTTTTTCGTAAGTGATATGCAATTTCTTTTCAATGAGCCAATTCACCAAGTTTCCCAAATCACGTGTTTTGTGTTTGAAATCTACATCTGAATTTAAGAGTAATTGAACTGCCTTTAGAATATGAGAGCTGTCCAAAAATGTTTCGTCTTTCAAGTTGGACAAATGTGCGATTTGATCACTTATTTCGAACAGACTTTCCACTTTAATTTGAGGCCTGGCTTTGCGTAGTGACGTGTAGAGTACTAGAGAGAGAAGAGTGTCGGCATCTTTGATCTTCACAGGGCGTGAATGAGAGGTCACGTGATTGAAGAAGTCGAGCAGTTCATACTCGAGAAGAGTTCCGAAGCTGTGAGACGTCAAGTTGTAATTCTCGGCTACAAAAAAATTGTATTTAACCCAACCATAGCACCAAAATTGAAAAACAAAAATAAGTGATAATAAATTTCAGTAATCAGTAACACAAGCGCAGGAAGTTGAAGAATTAAGAACGTTGCAATTCCAAAAGGTTTATGCCAAGAAATTCACATAAAGCGGAAACCAAATCTGAAATCCTGGATCTTAGAAAGGGCGAAAAACTTAATAAAAACTGAAATTTCCAAACTCTTTCGAAAAACGGTTTATAATTTTAACCAGACACTCCAACCAATCATTTTAAAACGTACCAATTTTTGCACGTATTTGTTGAGGCAATTGTGGAAGTGATTTGTGAATTTCACTGATGACCAAATGAGATTTCACACTCTCATCCCCAGGCGTGCACTTCAGCACCAGTGGCGGCAAGTTCGTCTCTGGCAGGAATCGGTAGTCGTGTACTTTCGTTTTATCTCTCATCCCAACTGTTTTCCGCTCAGCTTTTGAATTGTAAGCTCGTGTCTCATTTTCTACTATAGATTTCGTGTCGTCACATGCCTCGTAAAGCTCTATCTGTCGCAAGATTTCATAATCGATCGCTTCAGTTAAAAACTTGACCGAATTTATATTTTTGATCTCAACAATCGTTCCTCCAATCGGCTGAGCAGAAGCATTTTCTGAAGAAAAATTACACATTCATGTTATTCAGCTCGGAGTAAAACAAACCGACAAAAATGGGCCGAAATCAATTAAGCCTACAAAAAAAAAACAATTTTGCACCTGAAATTTTTTTACCAGTACATCCAGTAATGCATTAACTCTAGGCACTGTTAAACGTGCTGCAAAAGTAATCTCGAAAATGGAGATCAACCTGTGAACAAAGTTGTTTACGCCAAAAAAAGTATTGAAAAGAATTGTTAACATTTTCAAGACAAAGTGAAATTGCACAAGTTCACAAAAGGAATAAAATCATCCTATAACGAATTAAAATGCAATTAGGTGTTATTTTCCATTAATGGACAAAAAAACCCGAAATTCCGATGATGGATTCATGCCTTACCGGCAGTAGTAATAGTTTCAGTGGAACTTCTTCTGTCAACGATGCATCTGAATGAAATGGATCGTCTCACTTCTTCGTCCACGCTGTTGCTGTCATCCACATCTTCATCACCAGTAGCATCATGTTTATTGGAGTCCACATAGTCTAGACAGTGTCTGGGAATGGAGTCAGGTCTGTGCACTGACACTGAAGCGTCTACTCTGAAACACACGCCACGCGCATTCGACCAGATAACAAGCTCAATGGTATGAGAACAGCTGGTGGTGTGCAAATAGCACAGAATCTTCCTATCAGACAAAAGCACACGCCTATTTTTGTAACAATCGGACATTGTCATCGAAACTTCTAATAGTAAATACTCGCAGCTGGGGGAAAAGGTAAAAGAGCTTTGGTTTCAACCTTAAGCCAAGCTTGGTCACCAGTTTAATCTTTCAGCTCGAAATTCAACAGAGTTCATTCAGCTCACAAACTTAACGCGGTTAATCGGACGAACTAACTTAAAGTTTCGGCTATTCTCTTTCGCATTATCCCCCCTCAGCCTATTAACAAAAAATTATAGCCCCCCTCCCAAGCAATGTTGGGGGGGACTGTAATGGGGAAGAGCAAAAGTCTTCAGCTCAATCATTATAATTAGAGAAGTAATTTTATATGCCGATTTATGAAGCTTCACTGGAGCTTATAATATAAAGTTTAAAATAAAAGCTATAATAAGAGCTAATAATAATAAGTTTATGAGTAAACGTGAACTGAACCTGAGAGATCCCTCGTGGAATCTGCAGTCACAGGTCCCGATGGTCTTCAGAATCCAAACTATCTCCTCCACAAAAGATGCCACCTGCGAAAAGACAAGTTATCCAAATCGAACGGCAAAACATACGACACATACCTTAAATAATTCATATTTAATCTCTAGTCACGAGCGAGTTGAAATTAGTCATGAGCGAGTTATATTCACGACCAAAAAATTAGCAGATAGTGACAATTGGGAGAAAGGTCAAGACTTTGAACGAACTATGAGGGCGCATAGATGAACTTTCAGGAAGTTGATAAGTTATCATACATTCAATATTTGATTTAATTTTTGCTGATAATTGACTTTATTTGACAGAAAATCGTACCACCAACATTGAGACCAGTTGATTGGGTTAGAAAACAAAATACAGAACTGATAGTTATGTTTTTAACATCGTAAAATCAACGGGACCCAGCACGAGCCTAACATGCCTCTGGAGACCTTATAGTGACATTGTAAATATACAAGAAGTCTAAGGAACTATCCGACATGGTGACAGGCGAATCTGGGGAAGTCGCAAAATCACAAGCAAAATTTAGCCATTTATGTAAATTATTCAGTTTTCAATGAACAATAAAATCACGGAGAAAAATTTTGGAAAGACCGAAGAGAAAAAAGTTTCCGAAGACATTCAGAAGTTGCTCAAGGGATTGGCAGCCGGAACATCAATCAACCAAATATCTCTGAAAATTTGAAGCACCTTGTTAAAAGAATTCATGCGAGCTTTGAATGAACAGACACTGTACTTCTGGCTTGATGTTAACGGTATTTCTGAGCTTCGGCAGATAAGCTCATTCGTTCAGAGCACGGTGGATGAATTGAAATATCCACTAATTGAGGACAACAATACAACATATTCAAAGAAAAATAATTAGTTTCACAACATTATGTTCAAGGCTCCCCGTCATTTGTCGGCAGAAGAACATGGTAATGGGAAGATCTGGAAGTGTCGAATCATTCAAAAGAGAGCATCGACGTGATGTGCGTAAATGCGAAATTTTGAAGGACTGAAAAAAAAAACGGCGGGAAAAAATTCTTATGGTCGAATGAAAACTGAGATACATATCCTGTCTTTGAAGGAAGGATGAGGACGTATAGATTAAAAATAAGGGCGTATAGAAGAAAATTGACAACTAATCATACGAGCAAAAATTGATCTAGTTGTTCGCTGTCATTTATAGAATATTTTGAGAGAAAATCTTACCAATAGCCTCGAGACCAGTTGGTTGGGTTGTAAAAAAAAATCAATACTAATAATTATGTTTTTAACAACGTAACATCAACGGGACACAGCACCAGGTTAAAATGTATCTGAAAACCTTATAGTGAAATCGTAAATATACAGGTAGTCTAGGGAACCATCCGACACAGATCAAACAAGAACATACAATAAGATCAAAAGCGGGAAAATGAACAAAATATTTCCATTTTATTAATACTCCATTCTATTTGTTCCGACTTTCGAAGAAAGTAGAGTATTTGCAGTCGGGTGGGGTTGTTTGCTCCAAAAAATATCGAATTTTCAACTAGCCAGTTCTGATGGATTTTTATAACACAGAGACAAAGCTATATAAAAAAAGCAGCTCTATAAAGTGAAATTAAAAAAATAGAAATTAGAATTTAAAAAATCTGCCACGCGACGGATTCGAACCCGTGAGCTAGAGATTAAGAAACTGGCTGACACCCTAACCTCTCAGTCACAGACGCTTAAAAATAGGTACACATTAGCCACAAATAAAGCAACGAGCAGAAGCCATGAAATTTCTAATGCTACAGATCGTGCTTATAGCAAAAGTGCCACTAAATGAGCACTTTTATTTGCGAGTCATGTTAAAAAAAGATGGTCCATACTTATACACCAACTCGCGAGTTTAAATATTAGCAAGCTCGCATTCGAAAGTTATTGTTGACTTTTATAGTTTTAGAAAAATTGTTGCCCTTTATGTATTAACTTTACCTATCATTTTTCGTCGAGAGATTTGGGAGAATTAACGCGCGATATATTTCGAGCTTTTAACGCGAAAAACGAAGATTTAATTCGTCTTAGAAATAGTTTCAAAATAAATTGAGTCATACTATTTCGTCTGCTTAACGCCGCTTATCTGTATGCGAACTACATCACTTTGAACTGGACATAAAGTGTATGGGATAATGGTTTTTAAAAACTCAAATATATACATATATATTTTTGAAAATAATTGTTTAAAGCGAACAAAATTCCAGGGAACCCAAAAGTCAGTCAGAACATTCAGGACTTTGTCCTGATACAAGGAGTCGTGCTTAATCTTTTCACGGTGCTGATTTAAATTATCCGGATGAAATCGAGGAAATCTTCAAAATTTTCTCAAAATAAACTGAAAATACAAAAAAAGTGACGGCAAAAAAATTAGTCAACATTTTACCAGAATTAAGATAGTGCAATTTATTTTTTTATTTTTCGAAATTCGGACCCAAATTTAACCCCTAAAATGGACCATTTTTTACTCCTTTTAGCCAATCAAGAATTACGCTAAAACTTCCGGGTTATAACCTCCAAAATTTTGCTCAATTAAAAATTGTTTTTAAATCAAGTATTTAGTATTTTATGTGTAAAACCCACGTTTTTGTCGTCTCAAATAAATATATCTACTTATACAAAATTTAGAAGAGATTACCCTTCTTGAAGTTTTTTGGTCTACCTAACAAACTAGTTTCGATATAATCAGCTCAACAATTACCCGTTAGTTTGAGCCTAATGCTTAATTGGCTAATAGGAGTCAAAATGATCCATTAAGTTTGGGTAAATTTGTGTCCGCATTCCGCAAAACAAATGGTAGAATATTAAAACTGGCAACAACCTTCCGGTAAAGTTCCCGTCACTTTGTGTCGATTCACAACCGAATTCGAGGAGAATGCGTTTAAGTTTCCAATTTTTGTTCGTCGTGTCCGGATAATTTAAATCAGCACTAAGTTCTAGAACGAAGTTCTGAAATTCATCCGCCAAGGATGGAACAAGAACAGTTGAAAAATCTCGTACCACAAAACTGATTCACACTGGCGGTCAGACTATCAGATCATAAAAAGTGGGAGAACTCTATGCATGTTTTGTTGGGAGACCATCAATTCAGAGAAAAACGCGTTTAAATGAAATTCTAGTTTTGGTCGATTTGCCCGGATGATTTGAAGCAGACCCTATCACACAGCAAATCTAACTTGATATCCAAACTGGAAATCCGGCTGAGTCACTATCTCCATCAGGGGAGCCCCACACCTATTCATGTCAATCAGAACCTTCTCCCCTCCCCCTCCCCCCTGGGCGTGATCAGATGTGGGGACATTGACAGTCTTGGCTGAGTCGTGTTCCAGTTGCAGCCGGTCGAATCTCACTTTGAGGTGTCTCAGTTTGGCTTTGCTGAGGAAGTCTGATGTGTAGATTGGATACTTCAGATGTCCGCCTGCATTGACCAAAAGTTAAGTGGCTACTTGTCCGCATTGTGGCTAAGAGCTCTTCCGCCTCTTGAACGGTCAGTGGTTCGAGGCCCACAATTATCCGTGCTTAATGCTTGAGGGTTTGGCAAAATTAACAAGGCCAGAAAAATAGCCCAAAAAATTGCATGAGGTCCCTAACCAAGGACATAACAGCGTTTGTCCGTTAAGAGGGGAACAGCTTGTAGAATGGTTCTGTCTTTCAAGAATAAATCGTCCTAATCCAAGCTAATAATTTGCTATCTTCAGCAAAACTTAAGTTTGCAGTCACGTTCTTCAAGCATTTCAGAAGTCACACATGTTCTCTTCTACCGTTTCTTTGGCAACTATTTTTTAAAATTGTTTTAAGTTTTCTTCCATGCGCGCTTCCCCTCAAAAGTAGCCCAAATTTACTACCAAGGTGCACGTACAAAAATTTAGAGTCTAGTCGGTTATAAACATAGAGCCCTAGGCAAAAAATTTTGAAGCCAGAGTCCAGCTACGACACATAAACAAGCTACTCGGTAATACTTTTGTAGGAACTGCCTATTGCATTGAAATAGAACAAGAGGTGATAAGTGAACTGACCGACAGCCAGTGGCATCCTCTGCTGGGTGATCTGATAGCCTGCTGGCAAGTCAGCGTAGAAGTAGTGCTTCCGGTCGAACACAGACACTTTGTTCACTCTCAGACCCAGCGCCAGTGCAGTTTTCACGCCAGCCTCCACACAATACTCATTCAGTCTAGAGGGGGCAGGAAGATGACAAGTATTAAAAAGGATAAAAGGGGAATAAGCTTATTTCACAACAGGAGGCACAACTGCTCGAACTTCCTACCAATCCTTTCATCGCCCAAAAACTTTCATCGGAGACCTTTCATCTACCGAAAACTTGATGATTTTATATCTTATTTCTTCCGAACTTTCAAATTCCGCACATAACTTTTTGACGCTGTTCTTCCTGGCATTACGCTCTTGCTCTTTCCGCCAGAAGGTACCAGTGGATAGCACACAAACTTTCAAGCTATTAGTTAACCAAAAACGAAAACTATCTTGTAATCTTTCTGGATAAACCAAGAATTTTTAAGCTTCATAAAATCATCCCAGATTTTTTCCCAGAAAGTTTTGATAAACTGTTTCCTAAACTTTTGGAGCGCATCACATGAAGTTCAAGTTTTCAACCAATTTGGTCTGCTTATAGACCAGATCGGACAGCTGTCTAGCTGAAAATGCAGACCTGGGAAGACTTCCTGGCATGGACACGTCAAACAGGTGGAAGTTGGAATTGAGGGCGCATTTGGAGGAGTTGGTGTTGGGCGCGGAAGAGAAGAGTTTGGAGAGGGAGTTGATCTGGGCGTGGATCTCCACCCCCACAATGGGCACCCAGCAGAACTTGTTCACTCTTATCGCAGTCGGGGACATTCAGACTACCCTTCAGATGTCCACTGTTTCTTTTAAAACATGGATATATAATTCAAGTTCATCTTCTCATAATAGATTCTCAGAACACAGTTAAATAAAGCACCATTTCCAATACTAACATCCAGTAGATCTGAAACTTCAAGTAAGAACTATTGTTAATTAAACCTTGTGGTATCCCTCGTAACCAGGTAACAGATTTAAATGCCAAATAAATCTGGAAAAATTTCAAGGTAAAGGTCAATTAAAAACTGTGAATATGTCAAAACAGTTACCACTTGCGCATGCAAACTTAGCAAAAAAGATAAAATTTTGATGCTTTTGAAAAACTTGAGCTCGCTAGCAAAGAGATTTTGAAATCCATCAATAACTTTTATCGATAATTTTTGAAGCTACTTGATTTTTTACAACACTACAATGGATTGGTTCTATTGTTGTAAAATAATCTCTTAGAGTGTTCTCTTGTCGTTTGAGACAAGAAACAAATTATACGGCGTTCGAGTACTTTTTTCAAGTTTTTTCTCAGGTCAACTCAACTCTCTCAAAAACTCATTCGCGGAACATACCTGTCAGTTCTCTAAATTGAAGCTTCCAGAAACTTATTAAACATGGTTGAATTCATTGCAGAAAAGAATGGCAAGAACTGTTCAGCGACAAAGATTCATCGAGCCAGCTACTAGGAAGAACATTGCGATACCTTTCAGCTCACTCCTTCTATCGGACTGATGACTTTCTAGTCCACGACTCCGGGTCTGATGATACTGACCCTGTTAAATTTCTCGACGGAGGAAATTTAGACTTTCTCGAGAGCAATACAACTTCGCATGCTGAACGAAAAGGCAATTCCGATGGTTTACTTCCTTATGGCATGAAAAGTTGAAACCAAATATCTGGAAGCTTTTGAAGAGCTGAAACTGCTGAACTCTTACTTGCCACCCGTCAACGTGTTCCTCAATTCTGAAAAACTTTCATCAATGCCCTTCAACTGTTCGGCACCAAAGAAAACGTGAATACGAATCGTCGCTGAACGAATGGTCGCTTTCTGCTAAATTACGAATCGTTGCACAACCTCGTTCCGAATCGTTATCTTCTGACTTAAAATATTTGGGACTGTAGAGCTACCTTTCAAATAGCAATTCAAACTGAATGCAAAGAAACTGGCTCAAAATCAAGGTTTGTGGAATTCTTATGGTGTCAAAAACATCATGATAAAATCGAAGACATCCTATATTCAAACCAGCTCACAATACGCCTTAAAACCAGAGCTGTTAAACTTAAAAATGGTTTAAAAACGTTAGAAATGAAAATGAACCTTAAATTCATCTTTATGAAATATTTACACAGTGGCGAAGCTTCGCTTCGCAAACACTAGCGAGAACACGACAAAAAATATCTCTAAAAATTGCAATAATAAAAATTATAAATAATCCTCGAATTAGCAAAAATTCGTGTATCTCTGAGATTCAAACCTGCGAACTAGAGATTATAAGAGTCTCACATACTAACCACTAAGCCACGGAAGCTTAATAGGAACCATAAAGCACTCAGTCACAAATAAAGCAGAGAACAGATGCTATGCAATTTCCAATGCTACAGTAAAATTTCCAAATAAGTGAACACTTTTAATGAACACTTTTACTTCGGAGTTAGGTTAGAAAAAAGAAGGTTCGTAATATAACACTAAGCTGATCGCAAATGCAATAATGAATATCAGTGATCAATAGTCTGGATAGAAAAAAATAAAACTATCAAAAAACAAGTGAATCTATTATGAGCGGGATTGTAACTCCCGACCTCGAGATTAAAAATTTCAAGAACTAGAATCTGCGCCATGGGCACTTGATAAGCATCGACCACTAGACACCAAAAAACTAGATACAAGAAATGATTTATGATATGCAGCAAAAGTAAACCAGCTATAATAATATTGACGCAAAAAAGCAAACCAATAAATGAGCACGTTTATTTGCGACATGGGTTCAAAAAAAAACTGTTATAACTACTTCATTAAAACTTAAAACATAGCCAATTGACAGTTGGAAAAGAGTAATGAACGCAAGGAAGCTGAAAAAATACTGACTTTTTTTTCAAAAATCTTCAAATTTTTAATTTCGAAGAAAAAAAATAGATGGCCTTAAACTTTTTTGAATTTCTAGAAAATTTATGATGAACACTTTTTTTGTTAAAATTAACCCAGTTTGAGAAAACTGGATAAATAGGTAAAACTTTTATTTCGCTGGGAAATCTGATATTTAATTTTCATTTTCCAAATTAAAAGTCGATCACCTTTTTCGTGACTTTTACAATTCTGCTGTTTGATAAGGGAGTTTGCCTTGCTTTCAACAATAGGAATGCATTGAACTTGAAAAAAAATCACAAGTCAAACCGCGAAAAATCAAAATTGAGCGTGAACAAATTTTCCTGAAGACTTTTTCCTGAAAACAAAAAAATCACTACTTTCATTAATCTTAATTATATTAATTATTCTGAAACACACGACCCATTGATTTCTGAAACGCACAAAATCATAAAAAATTATTTTTGACCCTGTAACGACGCATTACCAGTCGATCGATCAACAACAACCGAAAGCAACAAAAAAATAAAAATTCAAAAAACCAAAATAAAATAAACTTTATAATAACGAACTACTTTCAACAACAGTAAACAACAGAAGAAAATTCCATGCTTTGTAAGGTAAGCTGCCGCAATGAAGCAGGCAAATGACTCCGACAAATTAACTTTTTTCCAGAAACTTTTAAGTATTGACCCAACTAAAACTCGAGATACCTCTTTGATAATACTCATGATTAATTAATTTGTACTGATGCTACGGTAAAACGTATTGAGCGGGAGTGAAGTGCGATGAAATTACTTCGGTTAGTTTGGAAACTAGATTACCTCGTAACGCTCCAGACACGGAAAAGATCGAACGAATGCCAGAAATGAAATCTAGGGGCTCATGGGACCCCTCATGCGCCTAAAAGCTACCAGTATAGTAATGTAGAATTCATTCTTTTTTTCGTGTTTAAACTTCAGCTGTTCGATAGTGGAGTTTGCCTTTCTTTTAACAAAGGAAATTAAAAAAACTTAAAAATAAATCAAAAGTCAAACCGCGAAAAATCGAATCTGAGCCTTCAGAAAAAAATCATAAAGATCTATATAAGCACTTTCATGCTTGCTTAAAAAGGGCATAGACAAAATAATTGAATTTTCTGGTACAAACCGAATTTGGAATTATGAAGATGTAGTTCACAAAAATTTCTAAATCTGACATGCGTAGGTTATTTAAGTTCGTCTTCACAACTGCAAAACAATGGTTGACGCATCATTTTTCTTTGATTTAGTATCATTTCAGATCCATCATTAAACTAACAATATGACTATTTAGTAGCTGTAATGAAAGCAGGTTAACGTATTTTCAAATAGCAGAAGAATTTAAGTTCTATAGCTGGTAATCCCAAAGAATATAAATGGCATTTCGAAAACAGCACAACTTCTACTGAGAGTTGCGAAAAAATTGAACAGTCAGAATTTATCACAAGGAAAATCTGCCAATTTTGACCAAATTTCGCACACAAACTTGAATTTTCAGCTGGTCATGAAACGAACATGAATCTGTCTGACGAATCGAAAAAAATTGTGAAATACTTCGTTTGCTCTTTTTAAATAATTCTTCCTGTTCCAACTTTCTGCCACTTATTATGCGATCAGCTGCCATTGTCAATCTGAAGAAAAATCGAGCAGTTCTGAGAATTTGTTCGCCACTCTAGCACTGTCCGAAGCTTTTCTCTCTTTTTTGCTCCCCTTTCTCGTAGAGCCCCCCTCGGATGGAGAACTTCTCTGAGCGTTGACATTGTCTCCTTCCCCCTCCTCCTCATTTTCGGACTCTCTTTCGCCAGACCGAGCGCTGTTTCCAGGAGACAAACTTCGGCTGTCGTCGGACATTTGATTTCGTTCCACTGAAACAAATAACAGCGAATCACTAACGGTGATGATGATCAAAACTCAAAACCATGCACTGAATGGTTGTAAAATTAGTCTTTGATACTTAATACCAACTTGCGATAGGAAAAAAAAGTTTTCTCAATGAATCTACTGTGGCGCGGATAAGAACTTTGTGGTACAAGACTTGAAGTTTTCGAACTTACCATCGATAGCTAGAGTATCTCTGCTCTTCGATCGACTGGATGACTCGGACACATCCCAACCCCCACCTGCTGCCCCCACCTTCGACCCCTCAACCAGTTTGATCAACTGCTTCGTTTCCTCCGATGACCTCCACATGTGTTCTTCGGAGAAGTAGTTCGGAGGATACGTTGCCATGCAGATCCTCCCTTCGACTGTCAGGCGTAGCAGGTGGTTGGCCGCTCTGTACACGTCGAACTTGCTCGTACGCGCAATCCTGAAAAGCAAGAACAGTTACACAACATTTAATTCTAAGAGAAAACTTCTGTTTTCAGTTCTGTTTTCTTTTTAAGATGAACCTTTCCTCGGAACAGTTTAAAAAGGTTCTATAACTGTATTACTTTTAGGCTAACCATAATTTCATCTTTTTCAGAAATCTACAGGGTTTCACAAAAACATATTTTTGTCAAGTTTTTTTGTCGCATAAATGTTTGGTGAAAAATTAACGTTATTGATCTCCAGGATACTATCTCGAACTGCAAAATGTGGCAACTAGAAGCTAAGATGGGTGAGGGGGGGGGGGGGGGGGGCATTTAATTATACCTGCAAACCTCAATTATACTCTCAGGTCGTTGAATTTCAGAAGTCAATTCCTTTAAAAAACACAATGCGCACTGCCTGTTTAACTGTTTATTTACCTGAAGCCCCTCTTGACAGCCCATGCCTCACACACATCCCACGCAGTCCATTGTTCCCCCTCCCCCTGCGGGTGTTTCAGTCCCAACATCTCCACCAGGGGCAGTCTGTCTGCTATGAAACCTACAGGTGTGTAGGGCTCTTGCACCTGGGCAGGCAAAATGTTCATGCTATTTTTCAAAAGTGGTCGTGGCTGCTGTTAACTGCAATTGGTTCAGTTTCAACGTGTTTAATATACTTAAAAACACGATAGTTGTTTAATATAGTGGCTTAATATATTAAGAACTGGTTTAATTTCAACCTGTTTACACAGACACGAAGCTGAACTTCGCATCACTTGTGCTACACAAAGCAAACGACTCGTAAAAGTTGGTAAAACGCCAAAAAAACAACAACACCCAAAAACTTCAAACGTTTGTTTCATACTGAAATTTATTTTAATGAAAATCTGTGCCAGAATACAACAACCAGTATTGATTTAGCTTTAAAAACTTCACATTACGCTAAACATAACGCTACAATATAGTCAGTGGAAAAAGACAGAAGTAAGTACTCTAAAAAATTAAGTTGAAAAAATTACTTGAAAATGAAACTTGAAAAAGTTGGAAAAATTACAGCTACAAAAATTTCATGGTTGTATCGGTCGATGTTGATAAACAGCCTTAAAACAATTAGAAACCATTCACCGAGCGTCAACAAAAGCGACAAATTTTGGGTTTGAAAACTGTTGTCATTAAAAACTTCATGAATTTTTAAAAGTTCTTACGACCCAACCATACGCAAGAACATAATCCAATACGAATATATTTTGCCCTCAAAACACCGCAAAATAAATTGACTAAGCCGAAATAACAAACTGTTCAATTTAAAAAAAATGAAGAAAAAAATTACGCAAAAACATTATGGTAAATTTACAAAATACAAACTTTCAATTATAGAAAAAAACTCTCCAAATTGGAAAAAAAACCCACGCTTTACAACTTAAACCAATAAAAACCCTGCTAGATAAAAAATGTGCATTTGAAAAAATGGAAAATGGACCGACAGAAACAAGGACGAAAACCACAAGCACGAAAAAAATTTGAGAAACTTTTTGAAAAATTAATTACAACCTGAAAGACTTTACTAAATTAAAACTTAAATGTTGGTAATTTATCATGTTAATAGCGTAAAACATTAATCATAGTTTGAAATCCATTGATTTTTTGATTAATTAGATCAATATATTTTCCAAGTTTCAATCAGCAAGTTAAAATCAAAGACACCTGAAAACGGACCAAAAATCTCATGACAATCTCTCAGCCTAATACTTCGATGATTTTAAATGTCAGTCATGAAATGACAACCGGTTGCTGCTAAAGTAGCACAAAACGACCACAATAATCATATAATAAAAATGAAAAAAAAAAACCTTTTTTTTTTCAAATTGTGTTGTTTTATTCGCGGGGTAACCAGTAAACTTATAAGGTCGCGTATTCCGTAAGTGTATAAAACATAATTAACAACAAGTTTTTTTTTCAAAAAATGAATGCAAAAAAAATCAAGAAACCGTTTTAAAAAAATCGGAAAATTATGTTACTAGATTAAAACAAAACTTCCACAGCTTTCATAAGAACTTATGCTCATAGTAAAAATCGGCTCACTTTCTTTATTCGATCAAAGTTGGAGAAAAAACATATCAAACCCTTTTTTTGACAGGCAAGACTTTCGACAGAGAAAACATTTTTGGTAAGTGAAAGTGATTTTGCGTGGAAAAAATATAAAAAAAACCTAACAAACCCGAAGACCAAGTTTCTCACAACTTTCATTGGTCGGAACAATAAGCCTGAAATCCAACTATTATTAGTAGCAATGTTAAAAATCACTAAGCCCAACCTGGGCAATAGGAAACAGTCCCGAGAATATCTGCTGCTGTTTGTCCACAATAGAGGGAAACACCAGTCCAGGGCAGTCGCACAACTGCACATTGCATGTCACAAAGTGTGTCTGGAAGTGCTTCGTGTGTCCGGGAGTCCTCGAAGTTGACACTACTTTCTTGCCGATGATGCTGTTGATGACGGAGCTTTTGCCGACATTTGGGTGTCCCACACATCCTAAACACAAAATACATAAAGTGCCAGGTGAAAAATCTGTTACCTAAATTAACTTAGGAAGTAATATCAGTGAAAATTAAATAGCACTAAGCTGTTTGAATTTTATGATTGACACTTTTTGATTAAGCTAAATCAACTTGAGACACAGAGAAGCTGAAAATGAAAATGTTCATTTAGCAGATTCGAACCTACGCCAAGTAGATTTGTTGTCGCACGTCCTCAGATCTGCGCAATGCTCCCTTGAAAATTACATACTCTGCTCATTTTCGTTCACATTTTTTACTTGGCTTGTTTATTCACTTTTTTATTGCCACCGGTCCTACTCAATGCAGGGCCGACCAACCGTGGAGGAGGGGTGACTTCATGCATTTCCATTTCGGCGTAGCCAGTGCCACCTTGAGGAGGCGGATAACTCTGGAGCCCGTACAAACGTGACTGAATTATAATGGGACCGTGGAGGAGGGGTGACTTCATGCATTTCCATTTTGGGGTAGCCAGTGCCACCTTGAGGAGGCGGATAACTCTGGAGCCCGTACAAACGTGACTGAATTATAATGGGACCGTGGAGGAGGGGTGACTTCATGCATTTCCATTTTGGCGTAGCCAGTGCCACCTTGAGGAGGCGGATAACTCTGGAGCCCGTACAAACGTGACTGAATTATAATGGGACCGTGGAGGAGGGGTGACTTCATGCATTTCCATTTCGGCGTAGCCAGTGCCACCTTGAGGAGGCGGATAACTCTGGAGCCCGTACAAACGTGACTGAATTATAATGGGACCGTGGAGGAGGGGTGACTTCATGCATTTCCATTTTGGCGTAGCCAGTGCCACCTTGAGGAGGCGGATAACTCTGGAGCCCGTACAAACGTGACTGAATTATAATGGGACCGTGGAGGAGGGGTGACTTCATGCATTTCCATTTTGGGGTAGCCAGTGCCACCTTGAGGAGGCGGATAACTCTGGAGCCCGTACAAACGTGACTGAATTATAATGGGACCGTGGAGGAGGGGTGACTTCATGCATTTCCATTTTGGGGTAGCCAGTGCCACCTTGAGGAGCGGATAACTCTGGAGCCGTACAAACGTGACTGAATTATAATGGGACCGTGGAGGAGGGGTGACTTCATGCATTTCCATTTCGGCGTAGCCAGTGCCACCTTGAGGAGCGGATAACTCTGGAGCCGTACAAACGTGACTGAATTATAATGGGACCGTGGAGGAGGGGTGACTTCATGCATTTCCATTTTGGGGTAGCCAGTGCCACCTTGAGGAGGCGGATAATTCTGGAGCCCGTACAAACGTGACTGAATTATAATGGGACCGTGGAGGAGGGGTGACTTCATGCATTTCCATTTTGGGGTAGCCAGTGCCACCTTGAGGAGGCGGATAATTCTGGAGCCCGTACAAACGTGACTGAATTATAATGGGACCGTGGAGGAGGGGTGACTTCATGCATTTCCATTTTGGGGTAGCCAGTGCCACCTTGAGGAGGCGGATAACTCTGGAGCCCGTACAAACGTGACTGAATTATAATGGGACCGTGGAGGAGGGGTGACTTCATGCATTTCCATTTTGGGGTAGCCAGTGCCACCTTGAGGAGCGGATAACTCTGGAGCCGTACAAACGTGACTGAATTATAATGGGACCGTGGAGGAGGGGTGACTTCATGCATTTCCATTTCGGCGTAGCCAGTGCCACCTTGAGGAGCGGATAACTCTGGAGCCCGTACAAACGTGACTGAATTATAATGGGACCGTGGAGGAGGGGTGACTTCATGCATTTCCATTTTGGGGTAGCCAGTGCCACCTTGAGGAGGCGGATAACTCTGGAGCCCGTACAAACGTGACTGAATTATAATGGGACCGTGGAGGAGGGGTGACTTCATGCATTTCCATTTTGGGGTAGCCAGTGCCACCTTGAGGAGGCGGATAACTCTGGAGCCCGTACAAACGTGACTGAATTATAATGGGACCGTGGAGGAGGGGTGACTTCATGCATTTCCATTTCGGCGTAGCCAGTGCCACCTCGAGGAGCGGATAACTCTGGAGCCGTACAAACGTGACTGAATTATAATGGGACCGTGGAGGAGGGGTGACTTCATGCATTTCCATTTTGGGGTAGCCAGTGCCACCTTGAGGAGGCGGATAATTCTGGAGCCCGTACAAACGTGACTGAATTATAATGGGACCGTGGAGGAGGGGTGACTTCATGCATTTCCATTTTGGGGTAGCCAGTGCCACCTTGAGGAGGCGGATAACTCTGGAGCCCGTACAAACGTGACTGAATTATAATGGGACCGTGGAGGAGGGGTGACTTCATGCATTTCCATTTCGGCGTAGCCAGTGCCACCTTGAGGAGCGGATAACTCTGGAGCCGTACAAACGTGACTGAATTATAATGGGACCGTGGAGGAGGGGTGACTTCATGCATTTCCATTTTGGGGTAGCCAGTGCCACCTTTAGGAGGCGGATAACTCTGGAGCCCGTACAAACGTGACTGAATTATAATGGGACCGTGGAGGAGGGGTGACTTCATGCATTTCCATTTTGGGGTAGCCAGTGCCACCTTGAGGAGGCGGATAACTCTGGAGCCCGTACAAACGTGACTGAATTATAATGGGACCGTGGAGGAGGGGTGACTTCATGCATTTCCATTTCGGCGTAGCCAGTGCCACCTTGAGGAGCGGATAACTCTGGAGCCGTACAAACGTGACTGAATTATAATGGGACCGTGGAGGAGGGGTGACTTCATGCATTTCCATTTTGGGGTAGCCAGTGCCACCTTGAGGAGGCGGATAACTCTGGAGCCCGTACAAACGTGACTGAATTATAATGGGACCGTGGAGGAGGGGTGACTTCATGCATTTCCATTTTGGGGTAGCCAGTGCCACCTTGAGGAGGCGGATAACTCTGGAGCCCGTACAAACGTGACTGAATTATAATGGGACCGTGGAGGAGGGGTGACTTCATGCATTTCCATTTCGGCGTAGCCAGTGCCACCTTGAGGAGCGGATAACTCTGGAGCCGTACAAACGTGACTGAATTATAATGGGACCGTGGAGGAGGGGTGACTTCATGCATTTCCATTTTGGGGTAGCCAGTGCCACCTTGAGGAGGCGGATAACTCTGGAGCCCGTACAAACGTGACTGAATTATAATGGGACCGTGGAGGAGGGGTGACTTCATGCATTTCCATTTTGGGGTAGCCAGTGCCACCTTGAGGAGGCGGATAACTCTGGAGCCCGTACAAACGTGACTGAATTATAATGGGACCGTGGAGGAGGGGTGACTTCATGCATTTCCATTTCGGCGTAGCCAGTGCCACCTTGAGGAGCGGATAACTCTGGAGCCGTACAAACGTGACTGAATTATAATGGGACCGTGGAGGAGGGGTGACTTCATGCATTTCCATTTTGGGGTAGCCAGTGCCACCTTGAGGAGGCGGATAACTCTGGAGCCCGTACAAACGTGACTGAATTATAATGGGACCGTGGAGGAGGGGTGACTTCATGCATTTCCATTTTGGGGTAGCCAGTGCCACCTTGAGGAGGCGGATAACTCTGGAGCCCGTACAAACGTGACTGAATTATAATGGGACCGTGGAGGAGGGGTGACTTCATGCATTTCCATTTTGGCGTAGCCAGTGCCACCTTGAGGAGGCGGATAACTCTGGAGCCCGTACAAACGTGACTGAATTATAATGGGACCGTGGAGGAGGGGTGACTTCATGCATTTCCATTTTGGGGTAGCCAGTGCCACCTTGAGGAGGCGGATAACTCTGGAGCCCGTACAAACGTGACTGAATTATAATGGGACCGTGGAGGAGGGGTGACTTCATGCATTTCCATTTTGGGGTAGCCAGTGCCACCTTGAGGAGGCGGATAACTCTGGAGCCCGTACAAACGTGACTGAATTATAATGGGACCGTGGAGGAGGGGTGACTTCATGCATTTCCATTTTGGGGTAGCCAGTGCCACCTTGAGGAGGCAGATAATTCTGGAGCCCGTACAAACGTGACTGAATTATAATGGGACCGTGGAGGAGGGGTGACTTCATGCATTTCCATTTTGGGGTAGCCAGTGCCACCTTGAGGAGCGGATAACTCTGGAGCCCGTACAAACGTGACTGAATTATAATGGGACCGTGGAGGAGGGGTGACTTCATGCATTTCCATTTTGGGGTAGCCAGTGCCACCTTGAGGAGGCGGATAACTCTGGAGCCCGTACAAACGTGACTGAATTATAATGGGACCGTGGAGGAGGGGTGACTTCATGCATTTCCATTTTGGGGTAGCCAGTGCCACCTTGAGGAGGCGGATAACTCTGGAGCCCGTACAAACGTGACTGAATTATAATGGGACCGTGGAGGAGGGGTGACTTCATGCATTTCCATTTCGGCGTAGCCAGTGCCACCTTGAGGAGCGGATAACTCTGGAGCCGTACAAACGTGACTGAATTATAATGAGACCGTGGAGGAGGGGTGACTTCATGCATTTCCATTTTGGGGTAGCCAGTGCCACCTTGAGGAGGCGGATAACTCTGGAGCCCGTACAAACGTGACTGAATTATAATGGGACCGTGGAGGAGGGGTGACTTCATGCATTTCCATTTTGGGGTAGCCAGTGCCACCTTGAGGAGCGGATAACTCTGGAGCCGTACAAACGTGACTGAATTATAATGGGACCGTGGAGGAGGGGTGACTTCATGCATTTCCATTTCGGCGTAGCCAGTGCCACCTTGAGGAGCGGATAACTCTGGAGCCGTACAAACGTGACTGAATTATAATGGGACCGTGGAGGAGGGGTGACTTCATGCATTTCCATTTCGGCGTAGCCAGTGCCACCTTGAGGAGGCGGATAACTCTGGAGCCCGTACAAACGTGACTGAATTATAATGGGACCGTGGAGGAGGGGTGACTTCATGCATTTCCATTTTGGGGTAGCCAGTGCCACCTTGAGGAGGCGGATAACTCTGGAGCCCGTACAAACGTGACTGAATTATAA